TACATATCAATCTTTAAGAGATATATTTTTATGCAACAATTTTTTATCTACATATCTATTGTAAGGGTTGGTGTGACCCAAAACCTAAGAGAATGAGTTTTTCTTAGCAAAGAAAGAAGAAGGCAGATTGCTTAAAATTGTAAGGGTTAGTGTTATCCAGTAGATGTCTAAGGTTTTTCTATTAGCAAGAAGAAGGAGAAGTGGTGTGCTTTTTGTACTGATTTGCTCTCCACTCATAAGGAGGTGTCATAGTGGATTTTGTAAAGTCTGAAGAGGGATCTTGAGCCAAGGAGTGTGAGTTACCGAACCTCGCAAAATTCGCCATGTTATGTTTGCAATTTCTCTATCCTTATCCCTCTTACTATTAATTGCTTATTTTCATATTTTGATTATTGCATAATTGTTATAAGTGGTTTACTAGAAATTACTATTCTATAAATAAAAAATTAACCATAGTTTTCCATAGACTTCACCCCCTATAGAGTCAATACTTGGGTAATAGTAATCTTCGTTGTTTTGCAGGTAAACGTCGCCGTTCTAGGTCACGTTAGTTTTCACATCAACATATTTATTAATTCTTATTCAATTTAGAATTCTAAAAGACACAAAACTAATCACAATACAAAAAGTAACAACAATATTATGACGGCCCTGGTTTAACAAATCCGGTGTGTCTGTGATGACCCAAAAGTTGACCGGGAAACGGATCTGAAATGCGGAAGTGAAGGTGAAAAATAAAGTCTCTAGAGATGTATATCATTCTTAAGACACCAAAGTGACTTCCCATGAAGTCAAGGAACCTAGAGAGAACAAAAACATAAACGAAGTTTTGAAAACGGTTAAATACAACCCTAGGGGTAAATGGTCTTTTTTACACACAAATGGGTGTTGCGGCGCACACCATTGAAAAATAACGAAAAATTAATAAAGTTAGACTCAAGAATCGCCTGATTTGGAATCCGGATGAAGGAGATATGGAACCTCAAAATTTTAAATAAAAACAAATTTTTAAAGTGCCCAGGGAAAACGGCGATCAATCGCCACAATTGGGCGATCGATCGCCGCCTGCAGAAGCTGATGCGCTGCACCAGATTTTTTGTAACTACGACCGATTTTCGATGCCTAAACAAATTTTTTTTTGAAAAAAGTTGTGAAGAAACCCCCCTTAAAATGTGATTTTCTAAACGACAATGTCGAAAGAAATCTTTATTTTTCAAGTGAAATACCCAAAATGCCCTTATGCGCATACTTTGCAAAAAAAAAAAAATGAAAACGCATGAAACTAAAAACATCCATTGCATATTATTATGAGGTTTGGCCCTTGGCCACAAGTCATACATATAAAATGAGTCTTGAAGAGTGTACTTAGGTACACATTATATATCCAAATATGAAATTGACATGTCAAACTTAAGTTATACATTACAATTTCAAACTAAACCAACATGCTAACACTTACATGCATGTGAAATTACACAAAAGGGTTTCCAAAAGTGCATAAACCAACTAGGGATGTTGTGCATCCCAAAATATAGTCTCTTTACCTGAAAAAGTCCCAAACAACTAAGGTGAGTAAACAAGTTACTCATCGGAAATGAACATGCGTATAACCTAAAGTTTTAATGGTTTTGCAAGTTAATATAAATATATTCATGTAGTTCATGCTGCCTAACGTCTATGTTCAAATGGAGCTATGGGATCATCCTAAGCTACTCTAGAACATTTTCAACATAAACCACAAAAATAATATAATTAAGCAACATTGGAGAAGCCGATCTACAACAACAAGTTACAACTTCATAATGTCATCAACTTGAATTTAAAATACGAAATCAATAAATGAAACTACAAGTTACAACAATATAGTGTTATCAACTTGAAACGAAATTGAGAAATCAAACAAAGCGGATATACTTGGACATCACGCCAGATCAAATCGGAAAATAGTAGTTATTTTGGGTTACTAGCCCGCCTGGAATTACCTTATTGCGCACGTGTGGGGAGAACTCTTTTCTCCGATATTAGAGTCGTACTCTAACCATAGTCAAGACAACGACATCCCAAGTTTTCAAAATCAACATATTGTACAACAACGTATATATATACACCTATACATAACATACTTAGCCACTTATCATGTGCACAATCAAGTTTATTGCAAACACACAATATATGCCCTAAGTCCTCAAGCTCGAATGGCATGTAATATGTCAAGTTCACAATGTGAATTCAATATAAGTTACAACTATAACATCAATACATTAAATACAATTATGTAAGTATACAACAAGTTTTAATTCCATGATTTAAACATCAAAGCGACATCTAATACAAACTTAAATCAATGGAAACAATTACATAGAATTTAATAAAGTCTCATGAATAAAATATCTAGATTTTAAAACATATCCAAATGAAGTAAGCTTAATCTATGTTAAAGATCAAGTCTAGGCCTTACACAATATCAAGTCCTAAACTAATTTCATGTAAGTTACAACTATATACAAGCTTAAAGTTGTAAAGGAAACATGTGTACAATTCAAATAAACTTAAAATACACATAAAACACTAAGCTTATAAACATGAAAACACCCCCTACCTTACTAGAGAATAGATTCTCTAGAATCCAAAGAAAGCAAAAGCAAATGGTAAAATCGGACAAGGGTATTGTAGAGGAGGATGAGGGGAAGCTTTTGTCTTCCAAGCTCTAAGTCAAAAGGTGGGTGGACAAGGCTTGTATGTGAGCTTATAAGTCTAGGGTTTTAAGGGTTTCAATGGAGGCAAGGAGAAGAAAAAGGTAAGGAAGATGAAGAGATAGTGGAGGAATGTGTATTCCTCCACTCACATTGACACTATGTGTGCTAGCACTATCTCTCACACATACACAACTCATCTCACCCCTCCACTTGTCAACTAACTAAGCCTCCTCACAAGATCACATCTAAAGCCTACACTTGTCACCATCTTAAACCTCCTCACAAGGCTTAATCTAAGCCCTACACTCACATCCAAAGCCAACAAGTGGACCAATCCTAGGCCACCAAGTGGGTGAATCTCCACCCTCCACATGTCATCATCCAAGGCTTCCAAGTGTCACCACTCACAAGCCAACAAGTGGACCAATGAGAGTGTGACACTTGTCACACTTTTTCGAAATTGCAAAAAGATCCCTCCTCTAAATATCTCACAAAATAAATTATAAAATTATCTCAAAGATAAATATCTAAAAATAATTTAATTACAAAAAATACCACATAAAACGAAAATGTTTCTGAAGAAACTATACATCCACACCCCTACGGGAAAAGTAAACAAGTAGCATGCTTTTCTACAAAAGTAAGATTATGCGTTTCATGGAAATCAAATATAATGGATGCACGTGAAGTCGGAAGTCAAATCCGAACAAGAAACTGAACTCAAAAACTCACCTCGGGTCTCAAAACCCTAAGGTATGAAAAATGCAATGATAAATGAAAAGGAAGAAATAAAAGAAAGAGGAAAACGCTAAAAGAGAGACTAAAATGACACAGTCATCCTAACGACACAAAAATCAAAACGAGAAAGTCTCGGGAACTATTCCCGAGCACTCAAAATGACTCAATGGAACAAAACCCGAATTCAGAAAAGGAACTTTAACGGAAAAAGAAAAAAGAAAATCCAAGAAATGGGAAAAGAGCCGGTCATTACAAATATATACATTCACGTAATTTATGCTATAAAAATCAAGTGTCTATGTATTCCTTAACGCACAATATTTTAATTCCCCTATATGAGACCAAATTCTTGTATCCACTTATTTTAAAATTAATCTATATCTATATCAAAATCCTGAATAAGAGCAATCTTTTTCGAGGTATCCTTAATCAATTCAGGACCCAAAAATCTGCTTTCACCAACCTCCAACCAACAAATAAGAAATCTACACGGTTGGCCATACAATGCATCAAAACGTGCCATACCAATAGTTTTCAAATAACTATTGTTATAAGCAAACTGTACTTCCTTATTTACATTATAAACTTAAAGTAAATGGATAAATAAAAATTGTAAAGACATGCATTTACATAAATCTTTATAATAGAAATATGGCGTGCAAAAGTCCTGGTTTGTCCTACTCTGAAATGAAGTATAGGTTGCAAGGAGTAACTTGCTCCCAGGATGGCACAACAATAATGGAAGGTTGCACAAATATGCTGAAAGGATGCACAATTTCTTAAAAATATTGCACAACAAAATGTAAGTTGCACCATAGATGAAGAAGACTGAGAAAACTCCCCGATTCACATAGGGAGTACAATCTCTTCAAACATTCTGCAAGCATGCTCCTACTATTACAAAGTGAGTATTCCCAATAGAAGATCATCCACCTGCTAAAACATCGAACATCAAAATAGCTTTCAAAATTTCTCATGTTGAACTCAGCGCCACAAATACCCCATATGAGACCAAATTCTTGCATTCACTTATTTTAAAATAAATCGATCTATATCTATATCAAGTTTATGTATTTTAAAATACTGATTTATAAAATAATTTATTTTAATTTATAATTCTTGTTAAGATCACTGTCACACCAAACTCATCAAGTAAAATTTTGATAATTTTGTTTAGATTTTTAATCACGTACATTGCACGTTGTTGTGTGTATTATATATATATATGTTGCTTACATCACAATTTTTAAATATTTAATACAATTTTATACAAAAAGCTCTAAAAGATATACACAAATATATATATATATTTCCAATCATTAGTTACTCTTTATGTCTATCCACTTTAAATGAATTATATTTTTTTAATAAAAGGATAATAAAAAAAATGGATACTAACAATTAAGTTTTTAGGTAAAAAAAAATGTCAAATAAAGATACGCTTTCACAAAATTATTATTTCCGCGCATTTTGTGCGGAAAACATTTTGCAGAAAAATAGTAAAGTGCAGGAAATCAAAAATTTCAGAATGTATCTTTTTTCCTTCTATCCAAATTCTAAAAAGTTTAAAATTTTTCTACTTCGCATTTCTTGCTGATTCAATCTAATTAAACGAGGCCTCAAGGAAGAGTATTTCTTTTCTTTTTTTCTCTTAATTGATACACACACACATGCGGCATGACTCCATTGAGTGACCTCCCTTTAAAAAGTGGTATAAGAAAAATTAATGAAATAACATCAAAAACAAAAAACAAAATCACCTTGCTCTCATGAATCTGACCATCCATATCATATAGTTTCATTCATAGACCCAAAGCAACCATGTTCATGATAGAAAATACATAGAACAAAAATAAGAAAGAAATACATAAAACACGTGCAAAGAGAGCAGAGTGCAACAGCTATATACCAAAGTTATACATATATGCAACTCCATTTTCATTGGTCATTCCATATTTCACTCATTTGTTGGAGTTCAACTTGATTGACATTTTTAACTAAAAAATAAATAAAATACTTGATTGACATTAATCTCAACAAGGGATTGAGACTTGAGAGATGTACTAGGTCCCATATCCTCAGGTTCCACGTCCTCTTCTCCAGACCCTGAGGATGAAAGACCATAAAATTGCTGTCTTTTAATTTTGTTTCTTTTCCTTCTTTTTTTTCTTCGATGGAACCTATATTTTTAAGAAAAAAAACATTTATTTAGCAAGATAATACTCATAAATAAAATATGCAAACCAAACCTTGATATACTGGCTCGGTTCACGGTGTTATTTAGATAAAATTAAAGAAAAAATTATTTACTTCTCTGGAGAAAAAAAAATTCATTATAGTAACAAACAAGAAATAAAAAAAAAAAATAATATAATTGCAATCATAAATTTTAATATAAAATATATAGAGACTAATTGTATTTGTAAATTATATATATATATATATATATATATATATATATATATATATGATGGAATGGTAATTGTAAATTGTAATATAATATTTATACTCACTAATTGTAAATGTAATAATATATATATATATATATAATGGAATTGTAATTGTAAATTGTAATATAATGGAATTGGTTTGATTCGGTCCGGTCTGGCCCAATTTGGTATCAAAGCAAGGGCTGATGCAGGCCCTCCAAGTAATTTTAGCCCAACCCCCAAAAAAAAATTTAATATTACTAACCTACCTCAGAATATATTTATGCGTCAAAGAGTCTGAAACCTAACCAAAATTCAATAGCTCCTCAATTTTGGAAGGAGAATGGAACCGTTGAGGAATAGGAACCAAAGCACCGGTTCGATTCGGTTCTTCAATTTCACCGATTCTTTGTACACCCACCCCTAAAAGTAGCTTATGTCATTAACCTAGTGGCCTAAATCTTGTAACAGCATGTTTCACACAGTAGGTGATGATTTACAATTTATCATATTTTCAGCAACATATTTAAGAAATTGAATATTTTGAGATAATCATGTATAGAGATATAAACACTGGCGGGAAATTAATATTATAGCTATTCCTAATAATATTCAACTAACCTTCGAACTTTGTTTCTTGGATACACGTTTTAGCTTAATCTTCTTCCCACCAGAAATATTTCCATCTGATCCAATGGGTACACGACCCTGCAAGTTCTGTTGGCCCTTCCTCATACGACCCCGAATTTTATACCGAGCTCCGCCTACTAAACTCACCTTCAATTCCGCAGTTTTATTACTAATTGCTATTGAATTGAGAAGTTCCATCCATGTTCCTGCATTGGCATCCACTTTTTCTCTAAAACGAGAGGTTCCGCCGGATTTCTGACGAAAAGAAGGCAGTGTTTTCTCTCCCAAAATGTATTGATCATAATAAAATGTTAGCAATATGTCATCATGGTAGACATTCAAGGCTTTGTTGGGATTTTTAATCTCAAGGTAGAATGTGAAGGTTCCATTCTGATTATCATTGCCGGAGGAGACCGGAACGGAGAACCCCACAATGGTGTAGGTCGGGGGACTGGAAATCAAGGTTAGGCATAGAACGAGGATGAGGAGGAGGACGCCAATGGTGATCACAGCTGACAGAAAGCATAGAGTGTACTTTTTTGATTCACACATGCTTTTATGGTGTATATCCTTATGCATGAAGATAATCAATTTGGTCATTGTGGTGGGACTCTATTATAGATTCCTGACTACATTCTCTGTATGACCTTCTTATCTCTTCCTGCTACCAAGGTTAGAAAAGAAGGAGCAAAGAAGAAGGTATCAGCAATAACTGGTTTATTACGAGACCACTCATGTTGTTCTTATCGATCTATAGATCATTTTGAAGTAAAATAAGGCAATCAGAGTTCGAGTTTGGATGTATGAGAAAAAGTGGAAGTTTTGGATTGAAGGAAGCTAACATGATAGGTGATGCTTTTTGCTGGAAGTTGCAAAGCATAACAATCTTATGCTTTTCTTGTTAATTGGGTGCTAATATGCTATATGATGTGCCTTACAGCCTTCGGAGTAAGCAATCTCTGGGGAAAAGCAAGATCACAGTCAAGGTACATCTAAATATACTAAAAATGTGATTTTTGAAAACTTGATAACTTTTTGAACTATTCAATAAGAAATAAAATTTCAAAAGGGCTGTTTGCTGTTTTTGTTTGGAAGATTTGGATGGAAAGGAATGCAGGTTTACATAGTGGTTCTAAGGTTTCATCTGTTGCTGCTGCTGCGAAGGATATTATTTGGGAAGTTTTAAACTTCTCTCTTGGGCTTGCTCGCTATATTTGATGGGGTAACTGCTAGTTGTTGGTTTGTTCTGGAAACAGAGTGGCACTCAAGTTGCTGACGGAAATTTAGATGCGTTATTGGTTGAGTTCAGCTGGACTGAGAGGTTTTGCCACAAGCTTTATTTATGTCAAGTTTTTAGAGCCGAAATTGGTCTCCAGGTCTCCATAATGGGCTGAAATTAGTTTTTAGTCTGTTTATGCTTTTTTTGCTATGCTATATAATTGGATTAAGTTCCATTTCTTTCTTCACTTTGTTTCTGCGAGATTTGATCTCCTATTTGTAATTGTATTTCTTTTTCATTATATATAAAACAAAAACATACCATTCAGGATAAAAAAATAAAAAAATAAAAATTGGAGTGCTTCCCACTAAGCTTTAGAAATGGGTCCTCGTGAGAATGCGTCCTCGTGAGAATGCGTTCCTTTCTAAGAGTAAATAAACGTGGTATATTTACTTGCTTCAAATTATTTTTGGGTGAATGAAAAATTAGATCCAAAATATAACATTTGATCTTGGTTTAAAGAGGTGAAAATGAGATCTAAATCCATTACCTCTTATTTTCTTGTAATGCGTGTCCTACCTAACATTTTTAGTCACTCAAACCATCCATCTTACCATATCCATTAAGTTGTTCATGCTTCTTTTTTAAAGCGGGACATGGAACTCCGCAACTCCGCTTAATAAAACATAGTTGGCTTAATAATTTGTCTTAATCTTGTATCACATTAGATGCCTCTACTTTGTCATTTTATCCATCCTGATCCAATTCTTTAAGTAATATCAGTATCAATCTCTCAATCCTTTTGTATTATTGATCATAAATTACGAAAGTAGTTATTTGAGTAATCTTTCAGTTTCCAAGTATTATAATTTTATTATCAATAATCGAGCCTTTATTAAATTTACATTCTATATTTTACCACTTTTTTATTTTATTGCTAAATTTTTTTAAAACAGTACCTAACAACACGATATCATTAGCCAAAAAAAAAAAAACACTGGAAATGACATTGTGAAACACTTGTAATTATAATCCTATTTTGCCACTTACCCAGTTAAGTCAACAACAACTTTTTATTGATTTGTGTGTAGGTAAGCATTGTCCAATATTTTTTAAAAAAAATTGAGGGGCACCGGTATCTAATAAGTCTGCCACCTTAATTACTTCATGTCATTTTCACCTTTCCATGAGCATGGGACTTTGGCGCTATTTTATAAAATTAAAATTAATAAGTATTAAAAATTGTAAGAGTGAAAAGTTTTAAGTGCTAAAATTGCAAATCTAAAACCCTGTTTGAATTTTGAATACGGAATTAATTAAACTGGACAAAATGTTCTGCAACGAGAAAACAGTTATGGGATACAAAAGTGTCACGAAGGATTGTATTTTGGGATCATTTCTAGAAGACATCATCATCATTCTTGTGTTATTATCACGTGAATGGGGTCGGTTACATAAATTCTCTGTCTCCATTCTTTTCTAGGTATTTCTTGCTACATCACCTATTATGTTTTGCTTTTTAAAATTATTTCTAATAATTTCATCAAGGTTGTTTTGGCCATATATATCTAATCTTTTCTGAAAATTAAACTTCTTTTTCTTACCAGTGCATTTGTAGGTCTCTCATGTATGTACTCAAATCATCTAAGTCTACTATATCTTATTTTCTTACTAGTGTCATACCTAATTTTTCTCTTGCACTTTCTGTTATGATCCTATCTCTTTAATTCGGTCACTCAAACCATCCATCTTAACATATTCATTTCTAATACATAAAATGTCATTCTTGTTTATTTTTTAAAGTACGACACTCCGCTCCATAAAATATAGTTTGCCTAATAGTGTATCTTAATCTTTTATTACATAAGATGCCACTAGTATGTCCCTATCTTTAATTTATATCACTATCAATCTCTCAATCCTTTTATATTATTAATCCTAAATTACAAAGTGATTATTTAAGTAATCTTTCTGTTTTAAGTATTATAACTTTATTATCAATAATGGAGTCTTTATTAAATTTACATTCCATATTTTCTGTTGCTAAGAAAACTTATGACAATAAGCAATTAAGCACATTGGCAATTTCTGTTTCCTGGACATGGATTGTGTACTTCATGAAATTGCAGAAATAACCTTTCATACTCATATCCTGTACAAACATGATATAAATTAGTCTCACTACCATTGAAAATTTACAATTTAGACTCTGTTTGTTTGGACGTAAAATATTTTTCAAAAAAAATATATTTTTTTATTTTTTGATATTTGATTATCGTAAAATATTTACAAATAAAAAATATATATATTAAAATTTAACAAAAATAATTTATTCATAAATTTCGACAAGTTATTTTACATGCTCTACCCGATAGACTCGACCTAAATCTCGATGTAGACCTTTGCCAAACACCGACAAAATAAAAATAAAAAATATTTTACATGAAAAAGAAAAATATTTTCCAAAAAAAATATTTTACATTCAAACAAACAAGAATTTGAATATTCCATCAAAGAACCTGCAAATTGAGGCCCTCAAACAAGAATTTGAATATTGAAAAATAATAATTACGTATAAATACTATATCTATTGCTAATAATCAAGTGCCCTTCATGTTATTACAAACTTACCCATATACCTACAATATAGATTTTTTTGCATATTACAAATTATCATGTATGATCGAGTATATCTACCATATTAGTAATATATAGGTCATGTTCATCACTCACCTACCTCAAATCTTTTCCTATATATAAGATCTTTATGTAATACATTAATACAATATCATATTTATTATATATCTTACACATATCAATACAATATACAATTTTTCTTTCTTATATTTAACACTTCAAACTGACCTATTTCTTCGAACTGATCTGTTTCTTAGGAACACGTTTAAGCTTGATCTTCTTCTTCCTCGGAATCTTTCCATCTGATCCAATGGGCACACGACCCTGCAAGTGCTTCCAACTCTTACTCATATGAGCATGATGCACAGCCCAAGACCCACGAGTTACTAAATCCACCTTCACTTCTGCAGTTTTGTTAGTTGCGATTGCATTGACAAGTGCTTTCCATACTCTTGCGTTGGCCTCCACTTCCTCTGCAAAATGATGTGTGCCACTGAATTTCTCACGGAAAGAAGGCAATGTTATGTTCGCCAAAATATCTTCATTGTAATCAAATGCTAACTTTATCTCATCGTGGTTGACATTGGAGAATTTGTTGCGATTTTTAACATTAAGGAAGAATGTGAAGGTCGCATTCCGGTCATTGCTTGAGACCGGAATGGAGAATCCCACAATGGTGTAGGTTGGGGAACTGGGACTCAAACCTAGCAATAGAACGACGACAAGGATGACAATGGCGACCACAATTACGAGAACACAGGCGGTACATTTTGTGGAACCAGGCATGTTTTTGTGGGGATAGGTGAAGAGAAGGTTTCGAAAGGCAATGAGAGTTGAAGTTGGAATGTATGGGAAAATGTGGAAGATTTGGATTGAAGGAAGTTAAGATGATTGGTGATGCTTTTTGCTGGAAGTTATAAAGTATAACAATCTTATTCTTTTCTTCTTGGGTGCTAATGTTCTTTTTAAATGTGGAATTTAATATGCTATATGATATGATGTGCCTTGGTAGCAAGCAACCTCTTTAAAAAGCAGCAATATAGTGGACGTGGAGGTACCTTCAAATATAATTGTAAAAATGTGTGCGATGAACATTTTAGGAATCATGTATCTAATGGGCAACAGGACAACAATGATTTTAGAAGTCCGCTAGTAGTTGTTGTTTTTGTTTTATTTATTTATTTATCTTTATAACAATTTTGTTTACACCCTAATTTCCATATGTTGCCTTCCAATCAGAAAATGTAAGTGTGGCCCACTGGCGATGAAGAGAGAGATTGATCACCTACAGCAAAGACCATAAAGAAAAGAAATTCTGAAAGTTATGGAGCTAATCAGAAGATGACACATGGCAAAAAAAAAAAAAAAAAAAAGCTGCATGGGACTAGGAAACATGACCTTGTTGAATAAGGCAATGGAGAATTGATGACGTGTCACCGTTTGATGGGAAAATGCTTGTATTATTAGAAAAAAAAAAAAAAAAAAAAAAAAAAAAAAAAAAAAGCCCTTTCCAATTACTCTCTAGTCTCTCATTAGATTGGTCAAGTTAAAAAAGCTGACTTGGCTATTGAGTTAAATTCATATAAACCAAGCTTCTAAATAGGACAATATACATACAACTTTCATATACAACATATCTATTATTTAATGAATTGGACTTTCACTTCATGTATAATATATTGTATAAAGTATAACGTATAAGATGGTATTCGTATGTATAGTTGAGTAAATTTCTTTATTCATTTGCTGACTTGGTGATGACAAAAATATATTTACTCATTTGCTGACTTGGCGATAACAAAAATATATTGGGGATGTGGCGTTAATCACCACCGTTAGATGATCACTAAACAATAACTGGAGAGGATTTTTCTCCTATTATTAGTATGTGAGTTCCTATAATTAAGCAACCAGCTCCAATAAAGAAGGAACTAGAGAGAGATTTGCAAGTCATTAAAAAAGAGTCGCTAGTGGAGAAATTGTAAGGCTCCGTTTGGTTAGATAGAAATAAGTAAGAAAAGAAAAAAAATAAAAAAAATTAAAGAAATAAGTAAGAAAAGAAAAGAAATACGTAAGAAAAGAAAAGAAATAAAAAATTAAAGAAAAGTGAGTGAAAGAAAAAAAAACTAATTTTCTAGCATGCATTTGGTTAGTATGAAAATTTATTTAAGAAAATTATAAAAAAATATTAGTTTGTTAGTTTGGACAGTGAAAAGAAAGTGATTGTACATGCCAAAATTACCCTTATGAAGTAAAATGATGAATTATTAAATTCATATATATAATTGTTTATTTTCATTTATATTATTTATAGAGGAGGTCTTCCTTTTCACTTAGAAGTTAGTTTTCACCAGCCTTCCCATCAAAGATTCCGTGGTAACATTGGAGTGATCATTCTATGTCACTTCTAAGCTACTCAAGAGGGAAAAGCGGGTTAGGCGAGGGGAGAGAATGAAAGAATCAAGAAAAGATCAGATTATTTTCTTCGATAAAACTAATTATTAGTTTAAGATAAAATAAATTAAAAAAAATAAAAAATCATAGATGAAAAAATTGATGGCAATACTATTGTTTGGGAGAAAAATCTAATATTTCACCATATAAAAATATATATATATCCATACGAAAATGACACTTGCATTAATATACCAAATCAAAAGTTGAATATAGCATATCAATAAAACATTCATGTAACAAAGTTTTCCCAACAAAATTTAAATAGTAGCAGAACTACTTGGGGAGAGTGCAAAAACAAGTAACACATCTCAGAAGGATAAATCAAAAAGGCTCTTGCTTTGATAAGATCAACATTCAAGAACTCAAATGCATTTATGCGGCTAGGGATATCAAACTCTTCAACATCCATCACAGCTTTGTTAAGTTACGAGTAAGTGATACATGGCTTGCTTTTCTCATATGCATCAGCTAATCTTGCCATGATATTTGTAATAGTAGTCATTGTTTTAGTAACATTTTCTGAGGTTCGTGGTTTCTTGGCAAGACGTTTAGATAGACATGAAGAACTTTGGTTACGCTTGTCCCCAGTTGTTTGGCTGCCAATATTACCTGATGGATTAGCAAAGCAATTACTTTCATAGTCACCTAAGTCATCCCCAATCATGTTGTCACCAGGATCCGCTAAAGGTGTATATTCCTCTTCACTATTATTCGTTTGCTTTGACATGTTAACATTTATATCCTTCGTAGAACTAGACCATTCTCCAGTTGCATGATCAGTACCACAAACTACAATCAATTCATCAATCAAGTCAATTTTTTTCCCTCTTAAACCCTTTCCATCATTATTATCCTAGTCAACATTTCAAAGAATCAAAGAGTAATAAATAAAAAAAGATAATATAAGTGTATGCATTTAAAAATCTCCTAACCTGTGATACCCCTCGGATCCGAGACACGGGTTGATCAGGCCCAGGCCCAAACCCGAGGGAATATCAAACAATTAAAGTATTTTAAAACGAACACAGATGACAAAAAGAACAATAAAGATAGAATAAAACTGAAAGAAACATTAATTATAAAATCCTCCATGTATAACTGAAAATTGAAACTCCAATCCTCCAAAACTTCAAAGTTACAACTTGGGAATCCACTGATGGACCCCTAACTAAAAGTTTAACTGAGAATGAAACTGAAAATAGATAATACTAGAAACATCGAGAGAAGTCCTACGTAATCAGATGAAAGTGAGACTGTCCTCGACAAGCACGATCAAGCTCTAAGGCTGGAACCGTCCTGTACCTGAAAAGAATAACAAAGGAGTGGGTCAGTCCCACGAGCAAGTTCTAATCTAACTGCAATCCATACAGTAACCCGATACGCAGATACACCGTAGACACCTCACAATATCTATCTAGTCCATACGTATAAATATATCCACACTAAGGGACATTCACTAGTCTATAATAGGGGTCTCAACCTGAATAGAAGGCAACATGCGAATACGCACCCAAAGGTGGGCATGAGTACCTAGACCTAACAGGGTACACCTCAACCTATTATAACCAGCTACGCATCCACTGCATATACGCATCCTAACCAATAAGTCTGAGACTCAAGCTCAACTCGTGGTACCATAAACATATATATATAATCCGTCCAAATCCAGGGTAAGCAGTTCAACTATTTATTAAACTGACCCACAATAAACCAACGAGTTGGTCACTCAACTTATTCAGTTGATATGACGTAACTACCATCCGTTAATCCAGGAAGTCATCCAACTTGGTTACAGTTGATCTGACTTAGCCACAATTAGGATTCGATATCTTTCAATCCATTCCATTAATCCATTAGGTTAGGTCTTAGCGTTTTGAAGCTAAACCATCCCTAGTATGTCACCGTCCCATACCGGTGCATATAATCCTCCATATCAATGCCAATTACAATATAGAAATCATAATTTAGTAAATTACATTCCAAAACATTATCCAAATAATTGCAGGAAGATATTTGATGTTATAGCAATTAAAAATCCAAACGATAATCCATATCATTGCAGAAAGTATTTACTATTTCAACAATTAGCCTCCAAAGCATGCATAGGTCAACTTCAATACATCAATAACCCTATAATGTATTTAGAACAATTTATAAACATATTAGATCCCACTGGAAAGCTCAAAAATAAGCTTGAGCAATTAAGTCTTCTTCCATCCCTTAATCGTGTACAATGTGCATAAAATTTTATACAGTTTGTTCCGTTAATTTAGAGGTAAACTTTAATCAATTAAAAGACCTCTTAATACCCAAAGTTAACTTCTTAATCCCCATGGCAAGTCCCAATATATATTTTTTTTTACAGTTCCAACACACAACAGCTTCAAACAGTGCATTAAACACCTTCCGGAAGCAAACTGAGCGAGAACAGGTTATGAACAAAGGTGGAGCCGGCTCCAATTTTTATTAGAGCCTGCTCTACTTGGGTAGAGCCGGCTCTACACTTCCTAGAGCCGGCTCTACACTAGGGGGGAGCCGGCTCCCTCCTCCATGGAGCCGGCTCTCTCCCTCTCTAAGAGCCGTCTGTCCGTCTGTAACTTCTGCGACCTTCTTCTTCAACGCCGGCCGCTTCCCATCCATTTTATTTAGTTTTAGACTGTTCCCAAGGGTCCTAACTATGTCCAATATAATCCCCATGGAGTGTTTACAACAGTTGAAATCAAAAACAAAAACTACAAGTTCCACAGACAAATCATGCTTAGGAAAACAACTACTGTAATGAACTTTAAAAAAACCATCACCGAATTCATTCAAGGCAAAGATAAGGTTAAATTGACATATAAAAACATGCTTAATTCAATTATTGATCCATTAGAACCCTAGAGTATGTCTAGGTGCACAGAACACAGGCCAACGGGAAGGAGGAAGAAAAGAACTTGCCTGAAGTTTTGGACTCAAAACTTGTCGCCGTCTTCCCAACGTCCGGTAACCACTGCAACAATGTCTAGCCTCCTAATACCTCCTTGGTCCTCTCTGTACACTTCCTCTTAAGCCTCACTCTGTTTTCCCCACAACTGCTCTCTGTTTCTCTCTCTGTATCTTTGGTACGTGAATAGGGTTTTTTTTCCAACCCTTGATACAGAGTAACCATATATATATAGGCGTAAAAACATAAACCCTAATCCGTGTTTAATCAGAGACAGAGCCCTAATTCTAAACCTAGTCGGCCCATGAAACTACCTTTGTTACGGCTTACCTAAACGTGAAATTTCCAACCCCAAAGTTAACTGTAACTTAACACAGCATTAAATAAAAAATAATTAAATAAT